GGGGCGCCCTCACCCTCGCCATTGAGAGCTCGCCGCCCTCTCCCAGCAGCGCCTTTACGCCGAACCGCGAGTAGCGCACGGGGAAGAAGCCGGAGGCCGAGCCGCCGTGGTTCTGGTGGTCCGAGGTCCCAAGCTGCCCCCACATCACCAGCTCATCGTGCGTCAAGCTGCGCCCGTTGTCCACGACCCGCAGAATGTTGCACGAGAGGTCGATGAGCAGGACGACTTGAAGAATATACGATGAAGGGGCCCCGCTCGCGATACTCCGGAGGTACACCGACTCGAGCGCGTTGTCGAGCAGCTCGTACACTGCCGTCTCCTGCGAGAAGATGCCCTGGGTCTCGGTTGTGAGCAATATCTTGGCCGACGGGAAGTTGAAGAGGTCCGACTGCTGCTGCGAGCCGGTGGAGGCCTCGCCACGGTGCCCCGCGCCGCCGCGGCGCCGCACCGCCCGGATGTGATTGCACATGGCGTGGAGCGCCGGGTCGTATGGCACCTTCCCATCGAGCAGCTCCAGTGCGCGATCACGTGAACGGGGACGCCGATCTTTTGCGACACCGTGCACAGGATGTCCTGGCCCGAATGAACGAGCACCTCGGTCGGCTCGCCCGCGTCGCAGAAGTGCACGTGCAGGCGGCGCGGCGCAGACATCGGCGCCATGGCGACGCGGCGACGATCGAGGCGGCGGCACGCGCTGCAACACGGGGTGCAACTCGTGATGAGCCTCCCGCAGTCCCAGAGCCAAGTCTTGGACAGGTCCGAGTTTCGTAGAGATAATCGCCGACGGCGGACGCAAAAATCTCTGTGTTGCAGGTCACAAAAAAAGATAAAATGCTATCATAACGCCGTCCCGCGCAGCATCCCCGCGAGCTGCGCGTCCAGCCCTGCCGCCGTCAGCGGGTGCGTCACGAGGTGCGGGCCGAAGCCCGCCTCGTCGGCGCCAAAGACGACGCTCCCGTCGGCGCGCGCGCGGTACGAGGCCGCAATCTCGTGCAGCGGCGGCAGCGGCGTCGTCCGCACGGCGCCGCCGCCCGGCGGGGGCGGCGGCTCGGCTGCGGCCCCGCTCTCGCGCCACGCCTCGTCGCAGAGTGCGGCTGCGCGGCGGGCGATGCCGAGCGCCCCGGTGAGGCCGGTGGAGCGGATGGCGCCCACGGTGACCCAGCTCGACCCCTCGGCGCGCCCGATCTGGTAGTCGGCGGAGAGGTCGCATCCCGGCCGGAGGCCAGAGTAGGATCCCGCCACACCAGCCTCGCGGAGCTGCGGCACGGCGGCGCACGCCGCGTCGAGCAGCGCCGCACGCACCTCTGGCCGCGCCTCCTCCCGCGGCGGCATCTCTACCTCCCTCACGGGCTCCGCGGTCGGGCCGCACGCCACAACGCCGAGCGCCGACCGCCAGACATACACACCTAACCTCGCGTCATCTCGCGTCACTTCGCGGCTCTGGCGTCGTCGCGGGCCTCGAGCGCCTAGCACTGCACGCACCCGCGGGAGAGGTCCCCCCGGCCGTTTTAATCGAAGGGGCGTTGGCGCCCCACCGAGACGCCCCGGGCCTGACTCCGTCCAAAAAAACAAAAAAGTCCCCC